TTCATTCCAACTCAGCTTTTCATGGTATACGTACCATAGCTTTCAGCACTCACACGTATAACGTGTTGAGCCGGTTAGCCGATATCGGCAATGACCGCGAGGCTGAAAGCTTTAGCAATGAATTTTGACTTGTTTTTGTTTGTTAACTGCTGTTTTGGTACGTATACCATGAAAAGCTGAGTTGGAATGAAATGGTGCCCCGGTAGCGTAACTGGTAGCGCACTTGCCCGGAAAGCGAGAGGTGCGGGTTCTAGTCCCGCCTGGGGCGAAAGTTTTGTTCACAACCCAGCATTCTTGTGAAACATATTTAATTATGTTAACTTTACTTTTGACGATGGTATGCAGTGCTGAAGAGAATAACATGACTGACCTTGGGAGACAATTGTGGTGGATACATATACTTGTACAAGTCGACGTAATTTTCCTTCACGGGTATGAGCTGACCTTCCTCAACAAGCGGGAACCCGAACGAGAAACCGGTGGCAAAAATCACCTGAAAATATTATTAGAATTGTTTGCAGCAAAACATACTTCAATTAGCAAACTTACAGTGTCGACCTTAGGCACTTCTGTCCCGTCCTCAAAAACAACACCTTCACTTGTAAAGGACTCGATGTTGGGCTTAATCTGAACAGTCATAACTTGAGTTTAGAATAGACCCGGTAATTTAATGAAAATAGAAGGAATATGAGAGCGTTTGTTTTGCATAAACTAATTGATAATTCAATCGAACTGGTTGTTTTTATCAATCCGCAAATGATGTGGCTGACGATGCAACGCTCAATCGCCCGCAAGTGAAGTTTACTTTGTCTCACATGTATTTCGATTTCACAGCTAAACTCATCCCTTAATTTCTGGGTGGGTCAATATTGACCGTGACAGGGTCCTATCTTAACGCAGCCAGAAAGATCGAACCTAGTCCCGGTTTTCAAGTTTTTAAGAAGCACCATTAATTCTTTAATTTTTCACAAATAGTTGTTCGATCGATTGCTTTTGTAAACTCGCGCGAGGGGTGGATGGCAGAAGATCGTAAGGCTGAGTTTGCGTCCCTGTCCTTACAGGAGTCTCATTGGTCAACCACCAAGAAATCCGTAAAGGTGAGGCCCTAACCCTTAGCTTATGATCGACACTCAATGTAACGAACAGGAAGATTTATAAGTTATTTTTTTTTGCTTATTCTCCCATCTAGTGAGTCAATGATCTGAAATGTTGAAGAAAAATCGATTCGCTCACAACGACAGTTCCCGAAATAATACGGTTTGGAAGTTCGTCATTGATTGTTACATGAGCAGACAACACATGATGCTGCGGCTTCAGTCCAAATCGTCCGTGGTCAAATTCTTCTAACTCAATAGTTGATGTTGACAACTAAATGCAATTCACCTAAGTAGAGGTGTTCCAGAAATGCCCAGCTTTCTCGAGAACGGTTTTTTGCATGATATAGAGGTACGTGCATGGAACACAGAACTGTGGTTCATTTTTCCCTGAGCGACCCTCTGAATACCAAAAAAGGAGCGAAGAAAAATTTCTTGAGGAACTGCCGTTCTTAACTTTCTTCACCATTTTTTAGCCAAAGTCTCGTATAAGGTTGCTGATGGTCCTAATTATAGATATGACATAAGTTGTTTCGCTGACGCTATTTTTCGCGAATTTTGAAACGCCAACACAAAATGCAAAAAATTGTCACTGCGAGGATTCGAACCACGGACCACTTCATCACCCCTTTTTGGTATTCAGAGGGCCGCTCAGGAAAAATGAACCATGTTCTGTGGTCCCGCATGTGCCCCTATATCATGCAAAAACCGTTTTGAGAAAGCTTGGCATTTCCTGAAAGACCTTCCTCGTAAGCGCGGAGGGAGGTATCTACAACTGCAGGAAGCCAATTTGCTAGAAAAAAAATTGTATTCCCATGTCTTCCCATGTTACGGTGGCTATTCGTCAATGTCATTCTTTCCTAACCGCTTGAAAATCTAAAATTACGTCTCATCTCCCTCCCTCTAAGTGAAGCGGATCGATCTTCTTATTATTTAGAGGACTTCTATGCCCAAAAAATTCGAGCATCAGGCAATGAGCGCAAACAAAGGTAGGAGATAAAACGTAGTAGTCAACGCTCTAGAAGGTATACATAAAATAGCCTTGAAAGCCGTGAAAGGCATGTTCAAAGGAGGACTACATGATGAGGTCGAAGGTCGAAGAAAGGAGAATTACCTAGTGGAGAGACATGCGTAAACTTTGAGGATGCGGACCGACACGCAAAGGGTATGCTTTTTTGCAGCGAAGGGTGTGCTCTCGGCAATCTAGCATGGACCTCTACACGGCGCTATCGGCACGATACGCCCATCGACTGGCTAACCACTCGCCACTGAGCGGAGAGAGTTGAGGAGGGCAGCACCGATGAGAGTCGCATCAATGCGAAAATCAACGGGCAAGGAAGGGGTCCCATTTCTCGGGTTCTGGGCCGTTTCTCATGGTTTTTCTTCCTCCTGGTCCCACTGACCGCCTCTATGTTGATTCTATGGCTGCCTTATAATCGTACACTTTGCCTTTAATCAATCAGGAAGAACTGCAGAATACAACCAGTGAGGAAGGACACACCTTTTGTTCAGCTTTCTCTCTAGAATGTAATTCTGAAGAGACCATGGCGTAACTGATTTCAATGCGAACATGAATCTGAAAAAGCATTATAAATTCTCAAGATTTGAGTAGAGGCCTTGCAACCAATCTCTTGCAAGGAGCATACAAATGAATCACTATCAACAAAAGCTTTAAAAAGCTGCTATGAGAGAAGTACTGATGAGTCTCCGCGAGAGGCAGTTTTCGTTGGCCGAGCCACGTGAAAGTGAAGTTTTGTCCCACCTGCTGAGAAAGGCGAGATCAGCCGGTTCTCCTCCGTCCCATACACGATTCAAAACCCAAGATCCAGATCTGGTGGCCAAGTACACCTGAACATATTTAATAGTTTATTAATCTACGGTCTCATTCAAACTGTTACGCAGTAACATACTATGCCGTTGTCTCTGTGTTATGCTCTCTGTCTCAAGCAACATTCAATGCCTTTTTCGTGAAGACCTCATAATGAGGAGTGCTGCCGCAGACCTGTCATGGTAAGGCGCATTACCGGGCAAATTGGGAGCTACGATCCACTTTCAGGCCCTCGAAGGCACAGTCCGAGATTAGGTACGCTCACCTGTCCAATTTCCAAAGAGAGGCGGACAGGCGTCCGATGTCGCGCCCTTTTTGTGGTTTAACAGTTCGCGCAAAGGCGCTGGAAGCTTGCTCCACCCACAAATTCACAACTTCGTTCACATGCCCCGCCTTTCGCTGTCGGTTGCACTGTACGCTGGCTAAAGCGTGGCCGCGGACTGGTAAAATTCAGCAGTTTCTTTTCCGGTTCAATGTCAACTCACCGAACAACGAAACTAAGCTCGTGAAAAAACTATGACCTACGGTCCCTTTGCTATCCCAGATGGATGTCGGAAAATAAACTCCTTTTCGGGGTATTTATGTTAGCTTCTTTTCTAGACCACTCTTCACCTCCAGCTTCGGTATTAAACGTTCTTACACGCCCACTTTTCCCGCAACTTACCGTCAAAGCTAATGCTTTGTTCTAAACATGTTACGAACTAAAAGATTACATCATAGCAACCTGAAACATAAAAAATAACAAAACATTCAACTTCGCTCAGATTAACGGAAGATTGATTGAACTGAAACAGTGTCAGCGGGATTTTCCAATATGGAAAAACTCCAGAATCCTCAATATTTTGTTAAACAATGAACTATTGTGGCATAAGCCGGCCATTGAAGGCCTGGAGCAGCAGTCGGTGCAAGCTGCATGCTTCGAGACTCTAAGCGATGTGCGGGTGATTTGCTGCTACTTACGATTTGGGACCATACGCCATTTTCGGGGTCTTACTGGTGATAGAAAGCTAACTGCGGTATTCATGCTATTTATAGAGATTTGGCGATTTGCGGACAGTAAGGATCGTTCTGGCGTTTGCTTTGCTCATCTGGAACGCATGAAGAAGCGTACAAAATAAACATTTCATAAATATTTTTGGACGTGCCACTAACTCTCGTCAGGACTTCGAACACGATCCTAAAGCCGCCCTCAAAGTCGATGGCCGTCTCTCCTGCCTGTCTCGTCCTTATCAACTGTTCACTACCCACTTCGTGTCTCACACATCAACCATTGCCACACTGTAGGCTTCCTACGTTCGAGTTCCTCACACCTACAGGTCTCACTTTCTTGGACTGGAGCCGAGCTAGGGACCGTTCTCTAAATGTCTGTGCTCTCCGCCATCTGCGGAAGGAACATGGAAGTAAGAAGCATTCCGTAAGCCTGTCCACCACCTTACGGAACCGGAACTCTTCCAATAGGGCCCTTACTCATTGGACGAAAATTTCAAAGGGAATTACTGGAGACATTGGAGTGCATCAAGTTTTCATCCAGTGCTCAGGAACCAAATATGTACTTAATCAATATGAAGTAGTCGTATCATCATCGTTAAGAGAGAGATTTGAGATTTTGAATCAGCCCGGCACAATCTGTCCATGTCTGCAATCACAACCTGTGAGGCTCACTGGCAAGTTTCCGCGCTGAAGTGACGACATTCGTGTTACTCCCAACCTTTTGAGACTTTGAGAGAATAAGCATTACGCCGTAACCCCACCTTTTTACGCTACAGTCATATTAAAAAGAGATGATGATATTTTTTGTCCCACAGCAATATGTGAGAAAAATGACGATACCAAAATGACTACCTTTTTGCATATTTTGCTGAGCTCCACGGCAATATCTGCTCCACTGTTCCCTATGCCAACAACAACCACAGTTTGATCTTCGTAACCCTGGAAATGAATGTCGATTTTTTTGTACAAACACGACAAAACATTTTTGCTCACCATATGATCCTTATAGTCATGGCTGTGCACGAGTTTTCCAAGGAAGGATTTCTGTCCAGGGAATGGTGTCGGCCAGTAAGGCTCCGTGTGGTGACCAGTGCAAACCATTACACCGTCAAATGTTTCAATTGCGGTGTTGTTTGTTCTACAAATATCGAGTCAAGAATCGACATGTCAACTAATCGGAAATCTGTCTCTATTTGAGCTGATATCTTCGACGTTGCGATCAAGCCGAGAAGTGAGTCAAGGAGAAGCCTAAATATCCCACTACTGGAGGACAGAGCGGACACAAATTAGGCAATTACTACTACACGTTAGCCAATCTTCTTCGATTTCCCATTTTTCAGTCACTTGTGTTGCTTTTTCTTGCTGCAGCATTTTTCCAGTTCAGTGCTGATGACGAACATCTCGATGAAATGGTTTTCAAAAATGGTAGAGCCGTCTCTCCTCTCCAAATTATCGTTGAGTCATGCCGACAAGATCTTTTGGTGCGCGATTTTCATGTTCGTATCGAAGTGAATAAGACCATGGTTTGCAAAGTATTGGAAGGTGTGCACGGCTTCTAAGTTGGGCGTGGAACCAAACTTCCCAAACGCCGCCTAATAAATTTCACGGTGTTGTTGAAGCTGGTTTCTGAAGGGGTCTGGGTAATCCTTAGGTATACCTCCGCACCACTCGAAACCGTTCAGTCTCTGGGATGGCGAAGAATATTCGCATGAGGTGTGTGCTCTCGAAAAGAACTTCACCTTTTCACTTTAGAAACTTTAGATTAGAAATGGCTTTCAAGATCTCGAACAAGGGAGCTTTTCCCGTATAACCGGCAAAGTTAGTGCAATGCTGTAGCTCGAATACTGCAAAAGCCGCTCAATCCGCTTGCCCTGAAGGGAAGGGGAAGACCTTCACCGACAAGGTAAAAACACTGCCAGTAAGGGTTTGAGAAACCTGCATATTCTAATGGCTCAATAAATCATTTCCAAATTCTCAATTCAATCAATCGCAGAGGATTTCAGCTAGGTTGCCGGCCTTCAATGCACAACAACTTTACCTGCTAAGTAACATCGAACTACAAGGAGGGCAAATATAGCAGAAAAATGGTGGCAAGCTGCTCCACAGTGGGATTACCTAGCCTAACCCAGTGGGCCTTCCATCCCCGTCGTATCGTATGGATTGCCTCTATGGAGCCTGATTCACTAGACAAAAGCAATGAGTTGGCACTTGGCAAGCGAGTTGCAAGCCCAATGCATGAGCGAGACCGCAGACTAGAAGCATTGTCTTGTCAATTATACAACGAGATTTTGAGTTAGCCAAAGTTAAAGGACGAATTCACGATTAGAATGAAGGTCGAAGAAGGAGTAATTCACCTAGTTGAGGGACCCGCGGACCTCCTAAGGGTGCGGACTGAAGCGCAATTGGCACCGAAGGAGTTGACCTCGGCGACCTATTAAGGCTCAATCTTGGCGCGGTGGGCCAGTGCACGCCCACCGATCATCTGATCACTCGCCGCAGGTCTATACGTGGCGAGTGATTAGATAGGTGAGAGAGCGTAGTGTTGAAGAGGGCACAGCGATGAGAGTCGCATCAATGCTCAAATCAACGGGCAAGGAAGGGGTCCCATTTCTCGGGTTCTGGGCCGTTTCTCATGGTTTTCCTTCTTTAGTGTACCACTCACCATCGCCTATTAATTTGAAATGGGTTGCCTTTCCAGCGTGAATTCGTCCTTTAAATGACTCCAAAAATATACGAGATAAGCACTTACAAGCCCTTTGTCTACCTCATGAGTTTCCTAGTCAGGTCTCATTGGATCTGCCCAATTTCTCACTAAACCTTTCTATCTCAATTCAGTATTGGTATGCTTACCTTATATCGAGCCATTCCACATCCCACTGTCCCGTCTCCGCAAAGCGACTATTCCTTCTGATCGATTTCACCTTGTGCTCAAAACGAATGTGCTTCAAAAGATCGAACCTGCAAACACAAAACAGAATTGAGATTATAGGGTTAGGCATGCTCTCAATTTGCCACTGCTCACATGTCTTCATGATCAAGACAGATAGATCTAGATCTTATAAATCATTTCAGGAGAATATTTTGAGATAATAGCGTATTGGTTGTAGAATTGGAAGTATTGGGTTGCCCAGAAAATCCTGCCACACTTTGAACAAAGTTCTGCAGAAAAAATTAAAGCCACATTCATTTGTTTTAGCATTTGGTCCTGACGGTGTGTCTTCGGAGGTTTCAGTAAAGCTTGTGTGAAGGCTTCGTGCAACGATTTACAGCTTCGAAGTCCTTTCTGAGTCAAGCTATGTATCTTTTACACTTTTATTTTTTGAGCTCTTATAAAGCAGCTCTGTTGTGTCTTTGCAGCTACCGCATTTGGGAAGTGTGTCGTTCAGCAGCCGATAGGGTCCCGTTGTTCCTGAGGCTTCGCAACTGGAGAACTTCATTTAACCCAGTCGCGACCGCGCGGGATTGCGCAATAGCAGGAGAGTCAGGAGATTTTTCTTCAATAAAATTTGAGTGGATGGAGATTTCCTCTGCCCAGGGCTGGCGTAGATGAATGAGGGTATGAAGATTCTTTTCAGGAAAGAAAACTTTCCAAATTCCATTTGAAACACGGCAGCCACCGGTGGATACCATTGTCCCGAGTGAGATCTTTGTCAGCCACCGGTGGCTGCCATTGTCACGAATGGGTTAAAGTAAAGTGCTGCTTTGATCGGCTGTGGATGAAGAATGATGCGCGTTCACTCAAAGGCAAGCCCGGGATAAAACCGGTGATAAAAGCGCTTCGTAATGATGACTGAGCTGCGGACGGCCTGAAAGTGGAAAGGAAAGCTAGAGAAATCTTTGGGATCGCTGAAATTAAGGCCTTAACCTTCAAAAAGGTGAATGATGGCGAGGCAGGGCGGTCAAAGAAGACAAAACACGCGAGAGATCACGCCGTTCGAGAGAGCACGCCGATGGGTGGGAAGCGTTGCAACGGGGTCGATGGTTGCAGGCCCGTAAGGATTAGCGCCCTAACCGCGCAACTTTTGCGGCGAAGCTGGAGTGATCTAGGTAGGTAGGGACCTTACAATTTCCTCGCGGTATCCTTCCCACAAGTCGGGCTAATCCCGGGGTTTGCCTTTGGTTCCTAGAGGCTCAGCCAATTGCTCCCAATCGTGAGCTAGCCACAGGCTGAGGTGCACTCATTCGACTCTTATCGAGGATTCCAAAGACCTTGGTTACAGGGCAGTAGTTACCACATGGGTTGCACCAGTCCGAGGAAGCGAACCCTGTGACCATGGTTAAGACTTATTTTCTTCCTTCGCTCCAAAGGAATCGTTCGCATAAATAAATAACTGAATAAAGCTCACGATTCGAGTAAACTATACTGGGGAGGGAAGGGAAGGAGTGGTGTAGTGGCAAGTGGCACGCTTACCCAATGGTGAGCGGTCGCCGAAGTCAAATCCACTGTGGTCATAAAGGTCCGCCACGACCAGTACCAAAGCGTTCCTCCTACCGAACGTCGTTAATGTGTACGGGTCTTGTCGTGGAGGCCAGAAGAGACACCCTGATTTCGTTGCATACGTGCCCCCGTAAGTCGGTTTTTGTAGGACACGCTCGCAATTCAAACGCCGCTTCGAAGTGTACTGTATGCGAGAAGTAGAATGCGTGCCGCATCCCCAAAACGGGATTGATCAACGGCAGATTGGTTTATTTGCTTTACCAGATTAGTCCCCCGTCAACCGCCGGGACCTTCCTTTCCTGCGCAAGCTTTCTATCCTCCGCTATGGTCCCTTCCTCCTGTGACACCAACACCTCCTGGAAGTGACGCGTATGCAACACAATGGTGTTTCATACAGTAGAAGGGACACAATCATGATATGACGGTAGATTTTTCGCTTCCCTTCCTCATCCTCCCTTCCTCTCTCCACTGCCCTCCAGCTGCCACTGCAGCACCATGTGGAATGAACGGAAGTGTGCTAAGCAGGTGTTTATATAGCCCTAAGAGTGTTATCACAACTATCCTGCTACAAAACATTGATATCTCAAATCCTGTAAGCTACCCGATTTGTTAGCGGTTTGTTTATCCCATGAGCTTCCTTCTCACTCACTTCATTTTGCGGACGGACACACATACATACACACACTACACACACACATACAGATACACAAACCGACACACAAAGTTAGCGCTTTATAAAATAGAAGGATCCTTCTATTGGAAGAAAACGTTTTTGC